AGGCTTTCAAATAAATTATTTCAGTATTTACCAAAATTGGAGTATTACTTTGTTGTTTAATCATCCACAGGAGTCCTTTCTCGCTTTACACACTCCTGTGATAAGCATTATGCACTGGTTAGCTGAAACCCCTAGAAACAATTAGTGCTGCTTTAAAGCTTTACTGCATTGTCTGAAACAATTTTTAATAAACTGGTTGCATTAAAATTGTACAAATGTGAAGTGCCAATGAGCATAGATGTGCAATGTACCCCATAGTATCTAGAAGTGAATACCTCTAGATAGTAATACTATCTGGGAGACTTATTTACCAATTCTACTTTAATAGCATCTTCAGCCTGAACTTCTACTTAAAATGGTACAGATCTCCTTACAGTTTGCTGATGAGAGGTGTAACTGTGAAGCAGTGTCATGCAGACTGTCAGAAAATCCAAAACTTCCAAGCTTCTAGATGTTGCTGTATTGAATAACTCTCTGTTGCAAACAACTGATAAATGTTTCTGTCCATTCTAGATACTCTCAGCAGCTGCAGAAATAGTTAATTCCTTGGTTTCCACTGTATATGCAAAACTTAATTCCAATAACATATTTTGTATTAAGGGAAACTTTTTCTAAAAAGAAATGCAGATTATTTTCTATTAAACTAACTTCTGTTAAGAATGCCTTTTATTAGCCATTTCTACTTTCTAGCAACTTCTTTGGACTATTCAGTAGGTTATAATTGAAAATAACAATGCATATTTCCTACTGTGCTTAAAAAATAAAGAAAATCTGAACTTTAATAAAAAAAGATATCTAGCTTTTTTTTATGGGCAAGTTTGCATGCTAGATCACAGTTCACTCAGTTCCCATATATAACGCCTAATGGAATGATAAAAAAGTTTGTTTGAGTCAGAATTACCTGGTTGTTAAAAATAGTTAGCACTCCTTTCTCAGAAGATGTTACTATGAAATCCAGATGGGGCACCTTTGCTATACACTTAATCACATCTTGTCTCTTGACAACTGTCAATGACAAAATATTACTCTTCATCTTACAGACACAGAAAATCTAAACAAATAGAATCATAATATCTAGAACACTTTCTCTTCCTGAAATGCATATTGGTACCAACCCCAAAGCAGTAATGCATTGTATCATAGATTATCCTATACTTGATTTAAATAATCATGTTTCATTTTTAAATAGCATTAATGCATTATGGATGTGCTAGTTCTTTCTACATATTGAAAAAAAATGAAAGGCAAAGAATAACTGCATAAATAAATAGTCTGAGTCAGGCAAATTCATAATTTCAAAATAATTTAGGAAAACATAGAACTGGGCAAGGCAGCAGTGGAGTGTTGAGACAATGAGTTTAGTAAAAAAACATTCTGGAACACATAATAAGAAGAAGCATGAATAATAAGCAAAGACAGACATAAGATCTTATTACTGTACTTTCAATAAACTGTGCAACACGTGGCATTAAAAAATAATTAGTTTTGGATACAAGATGAAGTCACCTGCATGACTAATCTGCTGTTTTTCAGATACAAGGAAAACCATGTTTTCTTCTTTCAGCTGGGAAGACATGGCACCACCTTCTCCTATGAAATAGCCAAAAATCTATGCAAAACAAAATAGAACAGAACAAGCAATTTATAAGAAAACAACTTCTAGAATATATGTTTGTATGTATAAAGTCAAATATTTATCTGATGTTTTTATCATTTAATATTCTTTGAGTAAGTTTCATATTGTTATTTGCCTCAAGCATTAGTTGTCAACATGACTTTAGATTGCTGAGATCTGCTACTCGGGCACAATCTTTCTTCAATGTTTGGAAAGAAGCCAGCATACACAGGGCTTCTGGGAATAAACCCCATCTAATTGATAAAGCTGTTAGTACAGCTTTGCCTTGTAACAATCGTTTGCAAATAGTAATCTTCAATTTTGTTTTTCTACTTTTACATACTTGTGCTTCCTTGCCTAGATGTCAGCTAGGAGAAAAAATAGTAAAAGGCAGACAAACCAGACTTCTCTGTACTTTTAAATGGAGAGATTCAACTTAGCATAGTGGTTTAGCCTACACAGTAGAAGAGCTTTTCTATAGAGATATGTAGATTCCCATTTGCCTGAAAAAAATCAAATATAAGGTCCATTTTTTAAAATTCTTTTTCAGCCATCTCCCTAAGCCTGGCAATGTTCCATTTGTACTAATCATGATGGAGATCCCCACACAGGATATTCAGGTAAGTAGCTCATTTCTGTTCCAGGGTGTGACAATACTTTGGCTGAAATGGTCTCCAAGCCTCAAGCTCTGTACCCATGAGTAGGTTAGCCATTCCCTCAGGAAAGGAGTTCAGCACCAGTCAGCTGTACAGATATTTTTTAAGCTCCTGTCCCATATTATGGACATTATATATACTCACTTTCATGAGTTCTAAAAGCAACACCCCTTTGGATGCAAGACATAACTTTGCAATTTTCTCTAGTTCAACATTTTTCATGTTATACAACAGAACTCCCATTTTTCTTCTTTGAGAGATTCAGATGTACACCTTCGGAAAAAATATTCTTACATAACATTACTCTTCATCTTTCACTTCACAGCTCCCCCCTTATCATGCACACAATTATTATCTATCATACATCATCAGTCAAGACATATCTGTCCATTATAGTCCATTACATTCCTCTTTCTGTTTTCTTGTAATATGATCTTGTCTTTCCATCCTGTATCCAAACAGGATACAGGATTTAGTATCCTAAATTACAGGTATATGGTCCTTCTGCAAAGTCATAATAACATAATCTTCACAATATCCAGCGTGAATCAAAACGTGGTAATACTAGTAATTCATACATATGGACTGTTTGCCTTGTTATAGCATTTTCACAACTGGTTCTCACTGTTTTAAGTTACATCTGAATCCACCAATTGTTTAGTATTAAATAACAGGGATCTGAAACTGCTGTCACTGGAACATTATAATGGAGTGTTTCCCCAAAAAATCAAGGATGTACTCTTTCTACTATCATCAGTTAATATTCTTGTAGCAGGTTTCCACCTATAATATGTATAAAGACAGTGTTACAGAATCACAAAGTCATGAGGTTGAAAAGGACCTCTTGGAATCATTTAGTCCAACCCCCCTATCCAAGCAGGGTCAGCTACACCAGGCTGCCCAGGACTGTATCCAGTTGGGTTTCGAATATCTCTAGGGATGGAGACTCCACAAACTCTTTGGGCAACCTGTTCTAGTGTTTGATTACACTCATGGTAAAAAAGTGTCTTGTGTTCAAATGGAATTTCATGTGTTTCAATTTGTGCCTGTTGCCTCCTGACCTGTCAGCGGGCATTATGGAGAAGAGTCTGTCTCTCTTTTCTACATTTCCCCACCTCAGGTATTGCACACATTTTTAAGAGTCTTCTCCAGACTACACAGCCTCAGCTCTTCCAGCCTTTCCTCATATGAAAGGTACTTCAGCCCCTTAATCATCTTCATAGCCCCTCACTGGACTCGCTCAAGTAGCTCTGTATCTCTCTTGTACTGGGAAGCCCAGACCTGGACACTGTACTCCAGGTGTGCTCTCAAGTCCTGAATAGAGAGGAGGGATCACCACACTTGACCTGCTAGCAATCTTTTTCCTAAACCAGCCCAGGATGCTGTTGGCTCATGTTCAAAGGACAAAAGGTCTTCTGTGCAGAGCTGCTTCTCAGCTGGTCTGTCACCAGTGTATACTGGTGCATGGGATCTTTCCTCCCCAGGTGCAGGACTTTGCACTTCCCTTGTTGAACCTCGTGAGGTTCCTGTCAACCCATTTCTCCAGCCTGTTGAGGTCCCTCTGAATGGCAGCAGTGCAACCCTCCTGGACACTGTACTCCAGGTGTGCTCTCAAGTCCTGAATAGAGAGGAGGGATCACCACACTTGACCTGCTAGCAATCTTTTTCCTAAACCAGCCCAGGATGCTGTTGGCTCATGTTCAAAGGACAAAAGGTCTTCTGTGCAGAGCTGCTTCTCAGCTGGTCTGTCACCAGTGTATACTGGTGCATGGGATCTTTCCTCCCCAGGTGCAGGACTTTGCACTTCCCTTGTTGAACCTCGTGAGGTTCCTGTCAACCCATTTCTCCAGCCTGTTGAGGTCCCTCTGAATGGCAGCAGTGCAACCCTCTAGTGTATCAGCCACTCTTCCCAGTTTTGTATTTGCAAATTTGCTGAGTGCACTCTTTACTATTGTCCAGGTCATTAATGAAGATGTTAAATAGTATTAGCTCCAGTATCAACTCCTGGCATGCACCTCTAGTGACTTGCCTCCAACTGGGTTTTGTATCACTTAGGGGTTCAGCCAGTATTCTTTCCACCTTACCACCCACTTATTTAACCCTTACTTTGTCAGCATGTCTACCAGTATGTTATGGAAGACAATGTCAAAAATCCAAAACAATTTAGGTCAGAAATATACTTAACTTTTACAGTCCAGTCATCATGTAGCTTGCGTTTAACACTAGGGATAGAAATTGAGATATTAGGATATACTAGCATCTACTATAATATGCCTGTGGGTGGACAGAGATTTTGTCAGTGAGATTATACGCAACCAATGCTAACATTTAAATATCCAGGCCAGACACAGAACCACTCTTCCAGCTCAAAAGCAAGCAGAGCTAAAATTAGAGTCAAATCATGCACTTCTGCGTAGCAATTATGCTTCCATCTCATTGGGCACAATAAAGCTGTGCCTATGTCAAACTGGATAACAGCAATGGTGAATTTTTCCCTGGAATTTTACTCTCCAGGTTCTCTGTTTTAAGATCTCCTGTAAGATCTCCTACTGAAAATGATGGCATTTCCTTCACACAACAACAAGCAAATCATACTTACTGCAGTTTGAAAAACTATTTTCTTTGTTAGGTGGGGTTAATTTATACACAAAAGCTAATCCTCCATTTAGGCCAGAGAAAACCCAAATTAAAAAAAAATAATTGCCAGACTGATAATATAAGCAACTTACACGGTGAAAGTTTTGGAGTCCAAGACCTGAAGTTGTGAGTCTTTTTTGCCTTTACATTGTTTCAATCCAAAGTGATCACTCGTCACAGTAAGTAGGTGAACATAACCCTTATCATCTCCCATTAGGATATTATCCTTAGCCAGGTGATCTGGCATAGTCACCGTGCAAACACAGAGCAGACCATTTTCCATTGGTTTGATGATAAAGCAATTATTCTGTGAAATATGGTAGATGATAGTTTATTAGATATTGCGCAGAGCCCTTAAGTTGACTGAACGTATCACACGTATCTACGTACATCAGCATTCAATTCTTGCCTTTGTTTTTTCAAGCCTCCCCTTTGATAGCTGTTTCCTGGTAGTAGAAACTCATGGAAGATGATTACCAAGTGAAGTTAAATGCAAACTTTAAGGATTTAATTGGGGCTTTATTTCATAGGTAGCCTTTTCCATTTCAGTGAGGAAATATTTATTACAAATTTTAGGGAGAATCCCACCATGCTAAGTGGGATGGTATATTTACTAAGACTATATATGGTTTCCTGTTCAAAAATAAGATGCTGTCTAGAAGAAAACGGGGAATAGCTAAATTAAAGAATTATTCAAACCACAAAATGCAGCAGTAACACACAGAGAGAAATTATATCAGAGTCCTAATTATTAATACAGCCTGGGAGTACTGAGTGTACTTAGATGGGCAGGTGTTTGAATTTTCAGGAATTGAGATGGTGGGAATGAATGCAGCTGCAAGCTACTGTGGTATTTTGCTAGACTGGAAGGCCTGGGAATGGGATTTTGGGTCATCTGCATTATACTGTTTATTGGTTCTACGGCCTGACTCCATCTGTTATTTGATTAAAGCATCCTTGCCAACCTAAATTGGCAACTGTTCACGTGTCATAGGAATTAACTGCTTCAATGTTGTCCATGTAGCACAGGAACATTAAAGAGACGTAACAAAGACATAGAACTATCTATATATTATTTCTGTGGTCTCGAGAAAGAACTGCTCCTATTCAGCCACAGGATATTTTCAGCTCTCACTGATGTAATGAGTTTCCTCTCACTGGAGGAAACCTCAAGAATAATGACTGGTGAAAAGATTTTTGAGCCTTCCTTCTCAGGAGTCCAATTGGATTGACAGTAAGACTTCCATTAACCTGTCTGTGCTTGGGGAGCAGCCATTTAATATTGAGAACAAAAAAACCCTAACACTTGATTTTATCCAAAAAATATTTACTTTGCTTCCTCTCACCTTCTCAGCCAACTCAGAATTGCTGAGAAAAGTTCCAGAAACAGGAGGAAAAGCTAAGGTATGGGTCAGAAATCCTTGCAAAAAATGTATTTTGTAATAAAGCATTCAAGAAAGCTTTACGAGTTTGGACATACTCTATCAACATAACAATGCTTTTGTTCTTGGAAAGTCTTGAACAAAATGCAGGATATGAAGGAATATTTTCTTTAAATAAGGAAGTTACCTCAAAGGAGTCTATGTTAAATTTCTTGGAAAACCTGTCCCTGGATTCTTAACAGATTCTGAGATACACATATGCAGATGCACACAGATTAGGTATACATGTGCACATATATGCATTAGATATACATAGAAAATAAATTCTTTGGGGGTTTGTTTGCAACCTAGTACAAAATTTTCCTCTTTCTTCCAAGTTTTTAAGACACTTTAATAATCCCATTGTGTGGAAAGGGTATTCCTTCTTTAGTATAAATTCCACTGTTTCACTGAGTTCCTACAAAGAAAAAAATTAATGCCTTCATCCTGTTAGACAAAAGGAATGTGAATGTATATTGAAAACAAAGAATAATCTTTTTCAGGCTTCCTCTTTACCATTTGCCCAATCCAATATAATACCTGACTCCCTTTTGATTTATAGTCCCAGACGATGACTGTCCTTTCAGTTACAGCCACGACACATTTCAGCTGAGGTAAGAAATCACATCCAGTGATCCAAGCAGTATCCTGATGAAAATAAAAAGGGTAGCTAAAGAAGGATTTTCTCTGTAAATTTATAACCTTTTTAGTTATTTAAGTATGTATTTTAAACCATCTCCACATAAATTCCATATACTCTGCACTACAATTCTTAATCCATTTACCATGCACTCTAGTGTTTTTTTCAGTGATCATATTTTAAAACAGAAAGTCGTATGGTACTAAGCAGAGTTTTACGTGTATTTTATTTATGCCTCTACAATTTTCACTCAGTCACATAATCCCATCAAGAAATGAAATCAGGGTTTCTTAAAGTGAGCTGTTCTCCATAACATCCCCTGAATGATCTGTATTCATAGTTCATGTTCTGTTTATACCATCCTGATGCTGGGAAAGCTCTGATGGCTCCAATCCGCTGGATTTTATTCCTAGAACCACTGTGTTTCACAGCGTTTCTGGCTTAATATCCTCTGGGCCAAGACCTCTGTTGCTGTGGTTGAGTAAGTTGAGTAAGTCTCTGGTCTGAAACACCTTAAGAAAGAGAACACTGAATGGTAGAGGGCAGAGGAACCTAGGGATTACTCTGCAATTTGTTAGCCACCCTCTACACACATTGTTTGTCAATGGATGGTATGTTTGGAGTCTGATGACTTATCTCTAAATTCAGTACCTTACTTCATTTGCACAACGATGCCTACAAATATATAGCTTGATTGATTAGCTAGTCCTAGGACTGATGATAATGTTAGAACAGATGAAAATGGCATAATAATTGGAGTGAGAAAAGAATGGACTGCTATTTCTGCAGATCTGAAAAAGAGAAATGTAAGCCCTGCAAGGCAAAGGCAACTTTTTAGCTACTCAGAAATTAATCATGAGATATTATTCATAGTTGTACATTATAACAATTTGTTGCTGAGGTCTTCAGCTAGTATAGCTCACCACATCTTTAATTAGTAAATGGTGGACGATGATTTACACTCACATAACATATTGGCCTTTGATCCTTAATACATGTTTAGATAAAAGCTATTAAAATCCAAAGCTTCAGTTTTAGCAAGCATTCTTTAAAATAAAAACCCCCAACCCAATTCTAGACATATATCTCTTAAAGTATCCCAAAGTTAATAATTTTAATAGAGTCATACATTTCAACTGCCTGGAAAGTGGAATTTATTCTCTCAAAACAATCCAGAATTTTATTTCATTGTGATTTGGGATAGGGATAAAGAATTTCCATTTTAAGAACAAAATAGGTTAAAATATTATGTTCTGCAAACTTTAAAACCTTTTAACAACCATCAAAAAGTTCAACTTCAAGTCCAGTAATAGCTGTTTTAATTCTATTTTCAGTGCAGGAGTTAGAAAAAGGATAAGAAGAAAGTAAATGCGCTAAGGATGGGGTTGTTCAGTGGAAACACTTAAATAAGAATGTTAAATAGAACTGCATATTCCCTAAGACAAGGCACAGCAGGCAGCAGAAAAACCTGAAAATTTCACAATTCTGATACCAAAAAAAGGTGAATATAACAACAAACCCAAAGTAACATGACATGACCAAATACCATTAAATCTTTCAGACACAGAGCCAGAAGTATTTCATATGGTTGTACACATGGGTTTCTCTTTTCTTTTCATGAACCGTCAGCTCCCCAGTGTCCCTGGGAAGACAAAGGTTTTCCCCTGAAAGTCTTTTACACCCTGTGGTAGATACTGACATGTTCAGCAGTAATGATCCCAACTGATCCTCATCAGCAATGATCCTTCATCCCAAGAGGGAGGAATCTAAACTGTTTCTAACCTACTTCTTCCTTTTCCTAGGGAAGGCTGAAATAAGTGGAAACATCGCAGCTGGGAAAGGATGGGAGAGTGGCACGTGACAACAGAGGGCAGAAGATCTAGGCCACACAGATCTGTTGCAGAGCTGAAGAGAAGTGGGTGCTCACTGATACTAAACAGTGTTATTTGTGCATACTAAACCTGCAAGTTTTGGTATTGTATCTGTTTGGAATCACAATCCTAACAATTATGATATTACACTGTAATACTGAGAGATACCTTTATGTTAAACATATGCTCCTTTCACATTTTTTATGGCAGTTGTGTCCTTCAACGGTGCCTAATTTTGCCATGGCTGCCAAGCATTGTCGTACTGCCACAGCAAAAAGACCTCCACATCCACTGAGGAATCATGCTAAGATTAGGGCTTAGAGCTCAGAGAGAAAGAGGACCCTGCCGCCACATACTGCCCACTGCAGCATCAGGCTGATGCTCCAGCTTCTTCCACTTGGTGTCCCTTTACATATTTGGATTGGGGAAGTTGTTCCTACCATCAAAGCAGGTACAAACTACTAAAATTCAATCCTGTAACACAGCTGTAGGAGAAGCTCTAAGTTGCTTCTAGTCAAAGTTTCCGTAAGTTATACATCCCAAGAATGTTTCTCACAGTTTACTTCTCTGATTGATTCTACAGGCTCGATTAGTCCTTGCAACAAATTAAATGCAATCCAGGCCAAGAGCTGTTTTCTGAGTTGGAGTGGTACAGTCTGTGTTCTGGAGTATTTATATTGCATTTTGGAACATCCACAGTATGTGAGAGATAATCAACAAAATGCACTGCCCACCTGGCACAAGATACCTACATGGACTTTTAGAGCAAAGGGTCATGTCACTTTGTTAAGACTGATGACAGTTCTCTTGTCGCAGGCCATCTGAAGAAAGTTCATTACATAGAATCTGCAGTGATACTCCCAGGGTAAAAATGAGCTTTTAAAGTATATACTGTGTAGCAAATCAATCCAACTGGCAAGATGTAGAACTGTTTTTCACTAGCGAACTTATAATTTTTCTAATTTAAATTTTACAGTGACAATTGAAGTGTTTGATCTTAGGAGAAAAAATTCTGTAAAGGTTATGGGGAAAGAATAATTTGGTAGAAAAAGCAACATTTACCTAAGGTTTCTGTCTATCAGAGGAAAGAAATCAAGTGATCCATAACCGAATTTCTATAATTGAAAGGAATAAATTGAATCTGTTTGACCTATGGCACCCTATGCCAAATTATGCAGAAGTCTCAAGGTTGGAAGTAGCATTAGAATAATGCTCAGTTTCTAATTATTTCCCTTTAGTACCTGCTGATTTTTAATTCAAATGATATAACAGAATGAGGAAAATGAACTTACTTCAACAACAGTGGTTGCCAGAACTCTCATCTGAAAAAAACAAAAATATGTTGTCACAACAACAAGTTAGCAATTAAATTAAAAGTCTGAACACAGTCAGCTCTCCTGTATCATGGGCAGAACAACGATAGCCAACAGAGAGTTCACAGTTGAGATCTGAGAAAGATCTCTAACCTACCTATTTTCTGTTCCCCTATATATAGTAAGGAACTTAAACCCTCTCTTTCTCTCACAGTTGTTTCATGGTTTGTTTGTTGGTTTGCTTTTTTTAAACTGAGATTTTGGAGTGAGCAAAATAAGTAAAAAAAATACCCATTTTTTACAGTAGAGTACAGATCAGCTGTTCTTCTGATGGAATTGTGCTTCTAATGGTCCTTCACAGCTAGAACATCTTCAACCTAGAAGAACATCTTCAAGCTCTTCATCAAGAGGTAGGATGTGGCATACAGATACCCAAGCTAATGCTGGCCCAGATGACATGTTAATTAGTGCCAGTAAAATACCAGGTAGAGATGGCATGTTAGGCCGAAAATAGGAATACCCATATTGGTACAGTATCTTTCAGCAAAGTTAACCCCGGTGGACAGCATAGCATGTGCCTCAAAACCTGAAGTGTATAAAATCACATGGTGGTAGGCATGCCTGGTGCTATCATCCAGTAGAGACAGGGTCACCTTCTTTGTCCTTTCACTAAACTAGTGTTAAATTTTCAAAAGCAATTTCAACTTTTTCCCTTCTGAATCACCCACAGATGTTTTTTCACCCCGTTTTGCCCCTGCTCATCATCAGTAATTAATCAGTGGTGCCTCATTCCCATCCCAGCAATTCCATATTTCATAAACCCAGAAGCTAGAATCAAAGCCTTTCTTCCCATAGAACTGTGATGCTCAGTGTCATCATGGACAGACTTTGAACAGAGTTTAAAATTATTGTTAATCAAGAGTTTAATATCCATGTAGTCATATCAGATTTGGCTTTATCTACAGTAACATTAACTAGAGCATGCACAGAGAATATTCCTTAAGGCTACCTACTCCTACAGGTCTTCTGCATTGATGAAGGCAGCATCCATGCTGGAGAGCCTGAGAAGCTTAAGTGTCTCATGCTCTAGAGTAAGCAGGAAATGGCTGATAACGCAGAGCTGCGTACAGGTGTTGAAGGATATTAGGCCCATATTTGTTGCAGAAAGCAATGCTTAGCCCTCAAATAGAGAACCTGCTGGTCAACAAATTACTATTTCTTTGCCTTCACTTCAATTTCTGATAGCTGCAGATATGTAATAGAACTTGGGATTTCTTATCTTTCTTTTTGTTAACCAGGGTTAACAAAAGTCTCGAAGTCCTCTTTTAGACAATAATTAGAATCACTAGCAATATATGTAGTGGATGATGGAAGCCTGTCACTGGTGAAATAGGATATGATCTTGAAACCTATCCTGATATATACAGCCTAAATTAAGCATTCTTAATGCCATCTGACACTAATGTCATTACTGACACTAATTATTCGCTGATAAAAAGTCTGATTAATTCTGATTTAACTGACGTTTAATAAATTGACAAGCAGTGAGACAGTTTGAAAGCTCTTTATTGTTCCTATTCTTATTTGTAAATTAGAGTCTTTTAAAAGCTTTTAACTATTCTCAGTTTCTATTCAGTATCAAATAAAAGCTACTTGTCTAGATTGTCAACTGACTCCAAGGATATAACACAACCATTAAGGAAATTGTCAAGTTATATTTGCTTTCCAAAGAGCAAAGAGAATAATACTAGCCTAATCTTGTGGAAAGCTTGGTTGTACTGGGCATCAATTTACACCAGGGTGAATGAACAGAATGTGGTCCTGTCTCTTCCTTCACATGTATGTTTCTTATTAGTCAACTGCCCCAGAAGTTGTGCAGTTAAAGTCTGTATTATATTAGATTCATTAATTATATCACACCAAATATTATTCATTCATGTACATGGAACACACCGACTTCTGTGGGATTTATGTGCATCCAAGAACACCATACGTTTAATAATCTGTACTTTAAAAATGCAACAATTATACAAAAATAAACCTCTCTGTCTATTTGTCAATGCATTGCTCATGAACTCATATTTGGCCCCTCCATCCAGAGGACAAATCCCACCAATCAGCATCTTCAGGGCAAGAATTTCCATATTCCCTTACCAATATGCTGCAAAGCCAAAGTAGACGAAACGACTCACTAGCTGAGATTTTAAGGCCAGGTCTTTTGAAATCCTTAGTCTTTAAGAGAAGAAGAATGATGCAAAAAGTGCAAACTCTGTATTTGCCTTTGTGATGTGAAGTCATAGTCTAGCAACAGGACTCAAATGACTATAATGCTAAAGAACTAGAATTTTCTCTTGCTTGCATCACGATGTGTCAGAGCAAGTCTAATGAAGTCAAAAGTCGTTTGCTCAGATCAACTGAGATCAGAGATCATACCATGAGTAAAGGACTGCTCTCATAATGCCTTAGTCATTTTCAGAAGATAGTTTTGTAAGTGGGATTTGAGGTCTCTAATTCACTGCATTAAGCAGCTGTGTGTAAAATCATTTACACTGCAGTCACTGATGTCAGAGTGACATCAGTTGAGTCTATGAGGAAGCAGCAATTCAACTTGAAAACAGCATGGGGAGGTGGGGGGTGGGGAAGAGAGCTATTTTTAACATTATACTTTGTGAAATTGTTTTTCGTAGGTACATAAGAGGGATAATGCTCCGGAGGACAGAGGACTAGGCTTTCAAATAAATTATTTCAGTATTTACCAAAATTGGAGTATTACTTTGTTGTTTAATCATCCACAGGAGTCCTTTCTCGCTTTACACACTCCTGTGATAAGCATTATGCACTGGTTAGCTGAAACCCCTAGAAACAATTAGTGCTGCTTTAAAGCTTTACTGCATTGTCTGAAACAATTTTTAATAAACTGGTTGCATTAAAATTGTACAAATGTGAAGTGCCAATGAGCATAGATGTGCAATGTACCCCATAGTATCTAGAAGTGAATACCTCTAGATAGTAATACTATCTGGGAGACTTATTTACCAATTCTACTTTAATAGCATCTTCAGCCTGAACTTCTACTTAAAATGGTACAGATCTCCTTACAGTTTGCTGATGAGAGGTGTAACTGTGAAGCAGTGTCATGCAGACTGTCAGAAAATCCAAAACTTCCAAGCTTCTAGATGTTGCTGTATTGAATAACTCTCTGTTGCAAACAACTGATAAATGTTTCTGTCCATTCTAGATACTCTCAGCAGCTGCAGAAATAGTTAATTCCTTGGTTTCCACTGTATATGCAAAACTTAATTCCAATAACATATTTTGTATTAAGGGAAACTTTTTCTAAAAAGAAATGCAGATTATTTTCTATTAAACTAACTTCTGTTAAGAATGCCTTTTATTAGCCATTTCTACTTTCTAGCAACTTCTTTGGACTATTCAGTAGGTTATAATTGAAAATAACAATGCATATTTCCTACTGTGCTTAAAAAATAAAGAAAATCTGAACTTTAATAAAAAAAGATATCTAGCTTTTTTTTATGGGCAAGTTTGCATGCTAGATCACAGTTCACTCAGTTCCCATATATAACGCCTAATGGAATGATAAAAAAGTTTGTTTGAGTCAGAATTACCTGGTTGTTAAAAATAGTTAGCACTCCTTTCTCAGAAGATGTTACTATGAAATCCAGATGGGGCACCTTTGCTATACACTTAATCACATCTTGTCTCTTGACAACTGTCAATGACAAAATATTACTCTTCATCTTACAGACACAGAAAATCTAAACAAATAGAATCATAATATCTAGAACACTTTCTCTTCCTGAAATGCATATTGGTACCAACCCCAAAGCAGTAATGCATTGTATCATAGATTATCCTATACTTGATTTAAATAATCATGTTTCATTTTTAAATAGCATTAATGCATTATGGATGTGCTAGTTCTTTCTACATATTGAAAAAAAATGAAAGGCAAAGAATAACTGCATAAATAAATAGTCTGAGTCAGGCAAATTCATAATTTCAAAATAATTTAGGAAAACATAGAACTGGGCAAGGCAGCAGTGGAGTGTTGAGACAATGAGTTTAGTAAAAAAACATTCTGGAACACATAATAAGAAGAAGCATGAATAATAAGCAAAGACAGACATAAGATCTTATTACTGTACTTTCAATAAACTGTGCAACACGTGGCATTAAAAAATAATTAGTTTTGGATACAAGATGAAGTCACCTGCATGACTAATCTGCTGTTTTTCAGATACAAGGAAAACCATGTTTTCTTCTTTCAGCTGGGAAGACATGGCACCACCTTCTCCTATGAAATAGCCAAAAATCTATGCAAAACAAAATAGAACAGAACAAGCAATTTATAAGAAAACAACTTCTAGAATATATGTTTGTATGTATAAAGTCAAATATTTATCTGATGTTTTTATCATTTAATATTCTTTGAGTAAGTTTCATATTGTTATTTGCCTCAAGCATTAGTTGTCAACATGACTTTAGATTGCTGAGATCTGCTACTCGGGCACAATCTTTCTTCAATGTTTGGAAAGAAGCCAGCATACACAGGGCTTCTGGGAATAAACCCCATCTAATTGATAAAGCTGTTAGTACAGCTTTGCCTTGTAACAATCGTTTGCAAATAGTAATCTTCAATTTTGTTTTTCTACTTTTACATACTTGTGCTTCCTTGCCTAGATGTCAGCTAGGAGAAAAAATAGTAAAAGGCAGACAAACCAGACTTCTCTGTACTTTTAAATGGAGAGATTCAACTTAGCATAGTGGTTTAGCCTACACAGTAGAAGAGCTTTTCTATAGAGATATGTAGATTCCCATTTGCCTGAAAAAAATCAAATATAAGGTCCATTTTTTAAAATTCTTTTTCAGCCATCTCCCTAAGCCTGGCAATGTTCCATTTGTACTAATCATGATGGAGATCCCCACACAGGATATTCAGGTAAGTAGCTCATTTCTGTTCCAGGGTGTGACAATACTTTGGCTGAAATGGTCTCCAAGCCTCAAGCTCTGTACCCATGAGTAGGTTAGCCATTCCCTCAGGAAAGGAGTTCAGCACCAGTCAGCTGTACAGATATTTTTTAAGCTCCTGTCCCATATTATGGACATTATATATACTCACTTTCATGAGTTCTAAAAGCAACACCCCTTTGGATGCAAGACATAACTTTGCAATTTTCTCTAGTTCAACATTTTTCATGTTATACAACAGAACTCCCATTTTTCTTCTTTGAGAGATTCAGATGTACACCTTCGGAAAAAATATTCTTACATAACATTACTCTTCATCTTTCACTTCACAGCTCCCCCCTTATCATGCACACAATTATTATCTATCATACATCATCAGTCAAGACATATCTGTCCATTATAGTCCATTACATTCCTCTTTCTGTTTTCTTGTAATATGATCTTGTCTTTCCATCCTGTATCCAAACAGGATACAGGATTTAGTATCCTAAATTACAGGTATATGGTCCTTCTGCAAAGTCATAATAACATAATCTTCACAATATCCAGCGTGAATCAAAACGTGGTAATACTAGTAATTCATACATATGGACTGTTTGCCTTGTTATAGCATTTTCACAACTGGTTCTCACTGTTTTAAGTTACATCTGAATCCACCAATTGTTTAGTATTAAATAACAGGGATCTGAAACTGCTGTCACTGGAACATTATAATGGAGTGTTTCCCCAAAAAATCAAGGATGTACTCTTTCTACTATCATCAGTTAATATTCTTGTAGCAGGTTTCCACCTATAATATGTATAAAGACAGTGTTACAGAATCACAAAGTCATGAGGTTGAAAAGGACCTCTTGGAATCATTTAGTCCAACCCCCCTATCCAAGCAGGGTCAGCTACACCAGGCTGCCCAGGACTGTATCCAGTTGGGTTTCGAATATCTCTAGGGATGGAGACTCCACAAACTCTTTGGGCAACCTGTTCTAGTGTTTGATTACACTCATGGTAAAAAAGTGTCTTGTGTTCAAATGGAATTTCATGTGTTTCAATTTGTGCCTGTTGCCTCCTGACCTGTCAGCGGGCATTATGGAGAAGAGTCTGTCTCTCTTTTCTACATTTCCCCACCTCAGGTATTGCACACATTTTTAAGAGTCTTCTCCAGACTACACAGCCTCAGCTCTTCCAGCCTTTCCTCATATGAAAGGTACTTCAGCCCCTTAATCATCTTCATAGCCCCTCACTGGACTCGCTCAAGTAGCTCTGTATCTCTCTTGTACTGGGAAGCCCAGACCTGGACACTGTACTCCAGGTGTGCTCTCAAGTCCTGAATAGAGAGGAGGGATCACCACACTTGACCTGCTAGCAATCTTTTTCCTAAACCAGCCCAGGATGCTGTTGGCTCATGTTCAAAGGACAAAAGGTCTTCTGTGCAGAGCTGCTTCTCAGCTGGTCTGTCACCAGTGTATACTGGTGCATGGGATCTTTCCTCCCCAGGTGCAGGACTTTGCACTTCCCTTGTTGAACCTCGTGAGGTTCCTGTCAACCCATTTCTCCAGCCTGTTGAGGTCCCTCTGAATGGCAGCAGTGCAACCCTCTAGTGTATCAGCCACTCTTCCCAGTTTTGTATTTGCAAATTTGCTGAGTGCACTCTTTACTATTGTCCAGGTCATTAATGAAGATGTTAAATAGTATTAGCTCCAGTATCAACTCCTGGCATGCACCTCTAGTGACTTGCCTCCAACTGGGTTTTGTATCACTTAGGGGTTCAGCCAGTATTCTTTCCACCTTACCACCCACTTATTTAACCCTTACTTTGTCAGCATGTCTACCAGTATGTTATGGAAGACAATGTCAAAAACCTTACTAAAGTTGAGGTAAACATTATTCACTGCTCTCCCCTTACCCACCAAGCTAGTCATCTCATCATAGAATCCTGTCAGGTTGGTTAAGCATGATTGCTATGACTGTCCCTTTGTAAATCCATACTGACTACTCCCCATCACCTTCTACGTGTGTTTGGAAATGGTTTCCAGAATTAGTCGCTCCATCACCTTCACTAACAATCGAGGTGAGGCTAGTTGTCCTGTACTTCCATGGATCCTTTTTCTCACCCTTATTGAAGATAGGACTTATATTTTGCTTTCTTAACTGTATGTTTCCATTTTCCAGGCAGTGGAGTACAGGCTTTTCACCTTTCTGGGGACTAAGAATTTGGTGGGAGGACTTTTTCTTTAATGATAGACTGACCTGGTATCAGATGATTGCTCCTGAGTCCTGACAGGATGCTGGATGGAGTGGTAGGGCTAGGCCACTAGCTGCCCTAAAGCCAACAGAAGTGGAAGTTCTCAGTGAGATACCCAGGTGTGTCCTGTCATGCTTCCTGTAGAAATGAGGCAGTGCAACACCCGATCTTTTGTTTCTGCCCAGCAAGCAGAACACTGCCCAAAGAAAAGGCATCTTAGAAATCCCTTCCAGCTGCATAAATAGCTTCTACTGACTCTATCATGGAGACGGGGGATCCCAATAAGCCCCACCCCATAATGACTACCAAAGGTTAACAACGAGCATAAAAGATGAAGTGAAATGCAATTTACACATCTTTCAGACATTTGCCACCAAAAAAAATAGAGATTTCAAAGCGACAACTACATTTGAGGAAGAGATGCAGAGGTCAGTTTCCCAAGTCATTGATAAATGACAGCTGCTAGACTGTCCAGGATAGGTCTTTTAAATTTTGGATCCAGTAAATCACTAAGGGTAGATCCTAATATAACTAAAAAGAACATTTAAAATTACCTTAGTCTTTATTTATTTATTTATTTATTAGAAAGTGTCCTTTGATTATGGTTATACTGTTGTGAATACTGCTGGAAACTTACGAAACCCTTGAACATGGAGGTACTTGACAAAGTACTTGTCAGGAAGATGAAGAAAGAGGAACACTCACAGAAGACCATGATCTTTTGGGTCGTGGAAATATATTTGGGAGACTTTGTCAAGCTACAGAGGCCAGATATGGAGACGTAAACTTGAAAAAAATAGATCTGTGAGAGCAGGAAGAGAGGAACAAAGGGTCAGGGACAGAGTTCTGAAAAAGGCTGGTGGGAGGGGAGAGAGAGAGAGATGATAAAAGAGAAATATCAAAGGAACAAAGTGACGTGCATGCCTCTTCCGTGACTTTCAAGACTAAGGGCATGCTCAGCAGTGCTAAAAGCAGCAGGGGAACTCAGAAGAACAGGGATGAAATACAGTCCTTTTAGAAAAAAATCACTAGAAAACTGGAGCACAGACAGCAGAAACCATGATGGCTATTTAGGATGTTACAGAAAGCAACCATCATCAATGATACATTTGAAAAATTAAGTGATAAAAAGGAAGCTGAACCAAGATCAAGGCTGCTTACATTGTTCACGAGCAGTAATTAATGATATGTCCAAATTGCAGTTTATAAATGTGACTCATCTAATATATCTAGTAGGTTAATTAACACTATAAGAATGAATGTGTCAAGTAAGGGAGGCACATCTGTCTCTTTTACCATCTCTCTCAAACAACACCTGGCCTCAGCTAGAATACCCAGAATACTTTCCAGTCTTAAAAGGCCAATTGCCATTTCAACAGAGTTTTCAAGCATGTAAAGGAGCAGGTTTGCTTTTTTTTTTTCCTCCCTTTTTCCATAAAAAGAAGTTTCACTTAAAAGAAATGAAAAGGCTACGGAGGATGAGAAAAGCAAGTGGGACTTAGGCTAGTCAAGTGTTAAATAGGGTCAACTTAAAAATAGAAATAAATAGAAATAAATAGAAAAAGAGGAAGAGCTACAGATATGGAAGAAAAAAGAGGTCTGGGATCCTCACCAGTAAGGTGAAAAAGAGATGAGGAGACTTTAGAGCCGTAGAGCAGCTACACTTATAAACCTGTGGCATAGTAAGAAGAAAAAAGAACATTGGCTTCATTCCTGACAGCAACTCTCCAGGATTATCTGGGCCGTTTTGAAACTGTAGAATTTGTCAGAGAAACAAAATTTAAAAAGACCACCACCACGTAATATGTAGCATACAAACCAATCTTATTTTATTTAATTAGAACCCATTCAAATAAGCCTGGAAATATCTGGTTTGGTCCAGTCATTACAAATAGGATGTTATCACAATTACAGTAGATGATCAATTCAACGATTATTCTGTTTCAGTGTAAACTAAATCTTACAGGATTCAACAGTTTTCTTACTTCAGTTTTCCTATCTCTGTCTATACCAAGCCTACCTGTAAGACAAATCTTATTCTTTTGTCCTGAAAGGAGTTTAGATTTATAATGTGTTCCATAACGTATAGATAGCTTGAAATATATATCACCATCAGATTTCTGACTAAACAGAAAAAAAACACCCAAAAGTGAAAAACTCACTGCAGCCTTTCAGTGCAGTATTATATTTCAAACTGTGCTGAATAAGGCTGTGTCAAAGTAAAGAAACCAGACTGAAGCTAAATCAAATAGTCTGATCGTTGTCTATGTCATAACTGAATTACTGCTTCCATCATGGATGAATTTCCCATTACTTTATGTTAAATATTTCTCCCCATGAGAGAAAATACAACTCCCCAACACACACACATTTACACTTTAATCAGGATTCTTTCCATCAGAGAAATAACAAAGATTTTTATTTCACTACCTACAGCAGTCAATATAGTCTCACTGATATCCATTTTCGACATGAAATGCATGCTGTAAGATGCTGAAGATTCATTGATTACCAAACTCCTCTTTTTTTAAGAAAGTTTATACACAGAGCATTTTAAAAGGCTGTTGTCAGTCAGCCTAATATTTCAGTATAACACAGTGCTTTCTTGAATGGAATCAGATCTGCACACAAAGATTTGTCCTATACGTTTAACTGCCATGAACTGTGGGAAAACACTCAAGTGATAGGTGGGACGTTTTGGGCAGCAGAAAGTTTCTAAGACCTTCTGCTGCTCTCAATGGTTCCCTGTTCAGCTTAGTGACAAATGCTTAATGCTGAACAACACAGAACCAGCTCCTTAAGGTGGTGTAATGAGATGCCTGACAATGTGCAGCGGGATAATGGTTGTCTTTGCATTTTAATATTGGGGTTGGGTTCTCTTACTGGTCTTGATAATCCACCCCCTCCATTTGTTTGAGACTTGCCCAGAATAAGAAAATTCAGAGAGAAATTTGATAAAAGTCTTTGCAATTACAGATGCCTTAAACAAAAAGGGCTGTATGTTCTGGAAAGCTTTGAATGCAGATGTTTTAAGTAAAAAAAACCTCAAAATGAAAGCAAATACAGAGTCTGACAAATGAAAACAGAAAGAAAATGAAAAGAACTTTCTGTGTTTTTCTTTCCCTCCCCTTACTTTTAGAGAGTTTCGAATAAATACTGAGCAAAGCCAGGACTTCACCTTTAAGTATCTTCTCATGTTGTATCAGAAATAGTGTGGCCAGCAGGACTAGGGAAGTGATCATCCCCCTGTACTCAGCACTGGTGAGGCCCCACCTTGAATACTAGTTGTTTTGTAGTTTTGGGCCTACGAGAAATAATAAGAAAGAACTTTCACTACAAGAAAGACACTGAGGTGCTGGAGTGTGTCCAAAAAAGGGCAACGAAGCTGGTGAAGGGTCTTGAGTACAAGTCTTCTGAGGAGTGGCTGAAGGAACTGGGGCTGTTTAGTCTGGAGAAAAAGAGGCTCAGGGAAGACCTTATTGCTCTCTAGAACTACCTGAAAGGAGGCTCTAGCGAGGGGGTTGTTGGTCTCTTCTCCTACGTAACAAGTCAGAGGACAAGAGGAAAATGGCCTCAAGTTGCACCAGGGTAGGTTTAGATTGCATATTAGGAAAAATTTCTTCACAGAAAGGGTTGTCAAGCATTGGAACAGGCTGCCCAGGGAAGTGGTTGAGTCACCATCCCTGGACGTATTTAAAAGATATGTAATGTAGATATGGTGCTCAGGGCCATGGTTTTGTAGTGGACTTGGCAGTGTTAGGTTTACGGTTGGATTTGATGATCTCAGAGGTCCTTTCCAACCTAAATGATTCTATGATTCTGTAATTCTATGATTCTATGTTGAAAATGGAAGTAATGAAGAAGGATGACATGCAAGTAGGAGACATGCATAGATAAAACATTTTAAATTTACCTCTCACAAGGTGAATTTAATAACAGAGGTATTGGACGTGGCCTAAAGTTCCATCTGATAAAGAGGGCTTATAGACAAATTCACTAGAAGGCAGTTATATGATGTCTGATGTCCTCTACAGCTAATTATTTCACAGATCTCCTCCAGGTCCTCCTTGAAGAAAATCTTTAACGCCTGACATAAGCAAAGTTTGTGAGTAAGGTGACATTGCAAGTAAAAGCAATGTTAAGAGAGGTATTAACCAGAAATGTTCCCATATAGAAGCTTATTAAATTGAAAGGACAAAACACATTGTTTTTAAGGTGGTATTAGGAAATTACTTGATACTTGGATTACTTGGATACTTGGGTATCAGCAAGGTTCAAGTCATAATGTGATGTTCCAGTGTAAAATAAAGTGGAAATATGGTAATGAATTTATAGTTCTTGTCTCTTGGTAATACCTTGTCTTATGGCTACAAGTCCAGCAAGGACTTGCCATATATGCAATGCCACCTATGCTATCACAAAAAAAGTTACTGTGTGCTGGAAGTTATGGCCCATCCATACAATTCCGTCTTCAGGTAGAAAAAAACCAAAATCTTGAAATAACATATGAGCATGGATGGTCTTGATACAGAATGGCTCTAACAATGTAAAAATCAGTCATTTTTATAGAACTGTTGCCTGAAACACTATCTATGGGAAATACCTTAATAAAAGCTACTTTTCTAGCATAAGTGTACCTAATCACTCATAACACGTAAAAAAAAAGGGCAACATGTTTTCACAAAATGTGTAAAATGGTGGATGCTATGGAAGTATCCTTTTTTAGATGGTTCAGAAGTAATTTACAAATAGAAAGATTAAAAGTCCATCAAGGGTTACTAAACACAGTGTGCACTTGCAACTCTGGCACAGAAAGTCCTTTAGCTATATGCAGCCAGAAGCTAAAAGGGGTAAACCAAATCTACTGTTTCATAGTTATCTCATTCTTACATGCTTTTTACAAAGATTTGCTATTTACCACCATTAGAGACAGAAAAATGGATTACATCTATCTGACCCATCTACAGACTCAATATATACTGAATTCTTTGGTTAAAAGCTCTCCACTAAAATGCTGCCATGCCTCTAATGTTTCACATTTAAAGTACAGGGCAGATTTATCTCTGGGAAAAGGGGAAGAAGAGGAAGGAGAAGAAGCAGAGGAAAAGAGAGAAAAGAGGAAAGAGAAGAAAGGAAGCATTGACGATGGTTTAGGTAAAGCTAAACTTCTCCTCAGAGCACAAATTGCGTGCTGCAGTCATAAGTCATAAGTCAAAGTATTTTGTCAAGAAGCCTAAGGCCAATGCATACCAGTGAAGTAGTTCAGAAGAAGACCTGGGCATACTCAAGCTCTATGTTCCAGATCCTGCTGCTTGTCAGGAATCTAGTAAATCAAACTTTGCTTGAGGATAAGCAGTTCTGGTAGACAGCTCAGTGCTCTTTCACAAAACAGGAAAAATGTTTTTATTTAGTCAAGTCATTCTTTAACATGTATTCGTGTGCATCTACATAATAGGCTAAAGGATATTGATTCAGAGAGAACAGGGACCACCTTCCTCAACTCGTGTAAACCAGTGGAGCATAACTAATGTTTAATAAGAATTTTGATTTGCAAGTTCAGTTGATGTAACAAACAGATACAGATAGAAAAGTAGTTCATCTACAAATAAAAATGTAATATAGACAGACTTTATTTAATTCATTCTAATTAACCTTTATTATCAGACCTCTAACAGCATGCCCTTGTAAGAACAGATAGTTCTCAGAGTTTGAAAGAGCGGAATAAAAAATATCATATATATTTGGAATAAAAAATAGTGCTGCTTATTGAAAGTACTGGACTGATTTTGTAACTAGAGCAGTATGAGCAAACCTTGCTCTTAAGAATCTGCTAGAATTAGCAGCATGGATTCTCCCATGTGTTAAGCTGTTTTACATGATATATTTAGAAGTCTGAAATCAGCCAGAGATAGAAGAAAATCCAGTACAGGGAATCTCTTAGGAAAATGCTTGCAGAGACAACACTGTCATTTGCAAAATACCCACCTGTTTACCCACATGAAAAAGTGGGGAAAGGCTGGGGTCAGCAAAGCACTGCCATACTTAATCTTTCACTGACATGATCACCTGAAATAACTAGTCCTCACTCTAGTGAAATAGGTTAGAGATGCCTCTGGGGATTATTTTCATATTTACAACTTCCACTTAGACTGAATACTGATCTTCTGATGCTCCAGCTTCACATTCCAGGTTTTGGCACTAGGAGCACGGGATTTTTCTTACTTAAACTAAAATTGTAATAGCATAGGGCACAGAATAGCACAAGTTAGAAAAACCTAGATTTTACAATAATACGAACTCCTTCAGCTCTCAAGACACATACCAGAATGGATATCACCACTCAAATTTCACAAGAGAAATTCCAAATTTTAGCCTCCTATCTTCAAATGTCCTCTTGGGAAACTTTCATTTCAACAAATGGACACATGCAAGTTTCT